CTGTTACTTATTAATTTAATTTTAAATTTCATAATCATGACAGTAAGAAATTATGGGGGGCTGGTAAGAATGGCTTTTGGGCTAGTACATAGTACATCAAGTTACAGCTTGTTTCTTTGCACCAAAAAAGAGTAACCACAAAAAATCACCCCACATTTTTTATAACATGTTTAAAGTGATTTAATATTAAATTTTAGTTAATTACTTCCCTTCCTGTCACTTTCTGTGACAACACAAAGAAAATTCACGTACACAGCCCTGTTGTATAGTTTGTTGACTGGCAGGGAAAGTCTAAGAAAAGGGAACTCAACATTTAACATACACAACTATATATTTTCAGCTCTGCCATGCTTTTACACTTCTTCACATCGCTATGCTTATGTGCTGAACACCACTTACTGCTTTACACTCATTGCTTAACATGTTAGCAACAAGCAATAATAATTTATTAGACAGTATTCAACAGGAAAATTAATTTCACAAACCTTACGAACAGGACGNTTTGCTGTCAGGTTAGAGGATTCTATCCTTTGGGCAAGTGAAGTTATGTTGGGAAAATTTTTGAGGAAATTCAAATTACAGAAGTTCTGTAAGAGAAGAAATTGCTGTTACTTATTAATTTAATTTTAAATTTCATAATTATGACAGTAAGAAATTATTGGGGGCTAGTAAGAATGACTTTTGGGCTACTACATAGTACATCAAGTTACAGCTTGTTTCTTTGCACCAAGAAAGAGTAACCACAAAATAATCACCCCACATTTTATATAACATGTTTAAAGTGATTTAATATTAAATTTTAGTTTACTTCCCTTCCTGTCACTTTCTGTGAAAATACAAACAAAATTTATGTACACAGCCCCATTGTATATTTTGTTGACTGGCAGGGAAAGTCTAAGAAAAGGGACCTCAACATTTAACAAACACAACTATATATTTTCAGCTCTGCCATGCTTTCACACTTCTTCATATTGCTATGCTTGCGTGCTGAACACCACTCACTACTTCACACTCATTGCTTAACACGTTAGCAATAAGCAATAATAATTTATTAGACAGTATTCATCTGGAAAATTAATTTTACAAACCTTACGAACAGGACGACCAGATACATCAACTTCCTGGGAAATAGAAAAAGGTTCTTGAGCAAGGCTACATTGACTAGACAAACCAAACATTGTCTGTGATAATGCTTTCAAGAGGTTTCTATAAGGGTTTGACTGTGTACCACAAAAGCTTATATGGCGACGTTTCACTGGGGTCTACATGTATGAATTTACCTTTGTTTATGCAGACCTGAGTGTGATTTAAAGTCTGTATTTTGTCACTCCCTGTTCATCTCAGACTATAAATAAATGTTAACCCTTAATCCTCAAAGCTCTCTTTTTCCCAAGACAATGGGTGCCAAGGAACACATGCCAAAACAATGATTGGAAAACAGATTAGAAGAGCACATCCCCACTTGGACTTACAGGATGTAAGCAACACCTACATTGTAGAGTTGTCAAAAGTAGCCAGCTACTACAGCTGCAGCAAAATTGCCATCTACTTTATAATCTCGATTGGCCACTCTGCTGGGTAATTGAAAGAGATGGCAAAATCAACTACCTAGTCCAAAAAACTTTGTGACAATTCTGAGGATCCCAGTGGGGTCAAGAACTGACCTAATCCAGTTGATAACAGTTTACTGTCCACCTCAAGCTTACACATGTTGTCCTTTTCACAAATACAACTCCTTGTGAAAGAGTAATAATCTGATACTAACATTCCAGTCAGCCTCATCTTGAACTCCTGTGGTTTGCTGTTTCTTGAAGTTTAACTTTTGTTTTTTCATCTGTTCAGGTTTTGGCTTTGATTTCTTGTCTTGTCCTTTCCCAAAAACGGTTTTGTCCCAGAGCTTCAACCACTTCAAANGCTTTGATTTCTTGTCTTGTCCTTTCCCAAAGACAGTTTTGTCCCAGAGCTTCAACCACTTCAAAAGGGTCCTGTTGATGGCCTAGAAACAAATAAGAACTTTTGATTTTTCAAATACATAACAGTACCTTCAGTTAACCAGACATTTAATTTAAACCTCCTTTGATATTATATAGACAACACGAGCACAGGATTTGCCTGTAATAAGAAAAGGTACGTGTAATGATCAAGCCTGATGGCCCATCAGGCTGGTGCTTATTTCTGGTTTTAGTGTTACACGTGACCAAGGGTACAGTATTTCTACTCCCCTCTTGATGGGATGATAATCCATCACAGGGTTATCCCAAGCATTTAATATGCCAGTATCCATTTGTATACCTGGTTGGAGAGAGGTACTATGAGAGTAAAGTTTCTAGTTGCCCCAAAACTAACTATTAGCCAAGGACATTGTTAGTACCTCCTATGTCAGTATTAACACATTGCCCTGAAGGGCTTGATCATTGTCTTTGTTGTCATTATTGTCCACTAAGATAACGCATAACAACCAATATACAGTCATGTACATGTACACTGTAACACGTCAGCCAAAAACAAATAAAACATTCCTACTCACATCATCACTGAGCAGTTCTGTAAAATGTCTTGGAGAATACTTTTCAACCCACAGGGCATGTTGTGGAAGGGTGTGGTCATCTTCA